GTCAAATAATCAGGAGCCAAAGCTTGCTGCCTTGCAGAAAGATGAAAGATGCTGCTCACTAGCAGTAGCTCCTCTCCTAAACAAGCAGTAATGTGGCAAATGCTGCTGCCTGCACAGAAGCAAGAAATTACTGATCGTTGGTACCTTAACCTTTTTCAGATGATCAATTCTGTGCCTGCAAGGACTAAGCAAGGACAGGCCTTCAATAAGATAATGCAGGTCCTGGCTATCAGGGCCCAGTGATGCAGGAAGCAGGCTGCGGGAAAGACAGGCCTAGAGGAGCGGTCATCATGTGGAGCAGGAAGATAAAATGCTGTGTTAGGATAAACAAGGGATAAACTTTCCACTACTGCTTCCATTACCATGAACAAAGCTGCTGAAGCTGGGAAGCCTTATGTCTAAGTAAAGACAGTACTTGTGAAAACTAAGAATGAGTCCTTCTTCCAAACCAAAGTCTTTACTGTTGAAAGGGAATATAGTTGTGCTGTTGGTTTATGTTTTGGGACTTGTAAGTTAATGCTGTGCCCTCTTTTTTATTTTATTAAGGGAGGTGATATAACTAACCATGATGGAACAGGTGGACGGTCAATTTATGGAACCGCATTTGAAGATGAGAATTTTGAAGTGAGACACACTGGTCCTGGATTGTTGTCAATGGCAAATAAGGGCAGGGATACGAATAATTCTCAGTTCTTCATAACACTTAAAAAAGCGGAACACTTGGACTTCAAGCATGTGGTATTTGGGTTTGTGAAAGATGGAATGGATGTTGTGAAAAAGATTGAATCCTTTGGTTCTCCTAAAGGGCTAGTAAATGGAAGAATTGTCATTACAGACTGTGGGCAAATATAGAATATTGCTTTGAGTATACAGATGTTCTAGCAGTATAAATCGGTATTTAGATATTATTGACTAATTATTTCAACTTCTTAAAATGGACACTTCTGATGTATAAATGTAAAATTACAGCTTACAGTTGGGTTTTTTATGTGTTCTAATTGATTTTTTTTGCATGTTAAATAAAAAGTTCAGACACTGGCATATTTCAGGTGTATTTGTGTTATCCTGACATATTTGTATTAAATGTCAAATTTTAAAAATTAAATCTTAGTCTTGTTAAAATAAATGTCTTGTCTTCACTCTGGTTTGTTTAAAAAAGAAAAACTTGCATAATTTGGCTTCCTGCTCTCATAAATCTCAATTTTGAATATAGAAATTGTAGGTGCTAATTGCTGGTCAGTAAACTGGAGGCCTTTGAAACTTAGTATTTTGTGCAGGAAGCCGGCTGAGGGAGCTAGCAAAGAGATGCTGGTTCGTGCTGTCTGAAGTGAAGTCTCTGAATTAGCACTTCAGTACTTGAAAGCTAGAGAATAGCTCTTAAATGTTTTGATTGGTACTTCGCTAGGGAAGCGTACTAACTTCTTTTTTGTATGTAGAATATTTCTACATGACTTAGTTTAGTGAAAACCATCTACCTGACAGTGGGATGTTACCTGAAATGCTGTCGTATAACCCACTGCTACTGCTGTCTTCTCAGTATGTTTATTAGCTCCATTTCCCGTGGAGTCAGAACTGCTCTGACCTCGCTGCACAACTGAATTACTGTAGCTTACACGTTACAGGGTTGTTTTATCTTTTAGAACTTTGTCTCTTAGCTGTGAATATGAAGGAATAAATGTGGAGTTTTTTAAAGTTTACTCTACAGCAGATGCTGGCATTATCAAGGTTTTTTTCTAGGTAACCAATTTGGCATTATGATCGGTAAGTTGGAAATACGTAACATATATTCAGCTTTAAGGTAATTTTTAAAGGACAGTAGGCGTACTTCTTCCCTAAAGCTCCTACGGAAGCATTAGACTGTAAAACAATGTAACAAAACTGATTTGGCTGGGGCCTAGCGCCCCCCTCCGCAGGCAGCAGGAGAGGGAGGCCGCGGCCGCAGC